ATGCAATTCTGCTCATGATTCTGGAATGTAGTAAAATGAGGTAAATGAGGAGGGCAGCCCATTCAAAAAGATGTTATTGCTCCAAAAATATGGCAAAAAAGTGTGAAAAATGCAATGTTCCCATGTTGCTAGATGTGAACACTACTTTACAAAATGGTTACTCTGCCTAAATATCAGACAGAGAGTTAAGCTGGCCATAGATTATTATTTTTTTTCATCTTTCAGCCAACTGAACACTGAACATCTCTAACACAGGTAAACAGTTGGAAGGATCTAAGGCCCAAGGATGAAGCACTACCCCACTGGAAGTGCAGTACTTTGGTAGCAGTCAGGGAGACACTCCCCACAGTAGTTGGGTCTTTTGAAGAACCTGAGTACTATTAGGGTCTGACCCGTCTGCCCACAAGACAGCTCTGACAGTGGAGGGCCTCTCACCTGGCTGAGGATCACTTGTCCAGCTACCTCTACCTTATCAGTTGTGGCCAAACTCAGCTTGTGAGCGAGGGAAGCATTAGAACTTATGTTTCCTGGGTGTGTTCAAGAACCCAGGAAGTTGTGAAAAAAGGAGTGAAGGGGGCCTATGCCTGCATCTGAGTATAGTGAGTAAATAAGCACTCCACAAAATATGTATATGTTGATTTCTCCTGGAAATTGAATGGAGTGATCTAAACATCTGCTGGTCGAGGTGTTCAATGCAAATATGAACAAGTTAATATATGAGGCCTGGGATGTCAGTTTATTTAAGCTTTTGCTTACTGGCAGCTGCCATAATAATAAGTGAAATCATATTAAATAATTGAAATGCTGTCTAATTAAAACAATGATTGCTGTATTCATAAAAATATGCTAAAAAGTAAATTTGAATTAGCAATTACTTGGTCAAACATTATTTCCAAAGTAAACAGCACTGCTCTGCCAAGCAAAGAAGGGTTCAGCACAATTCACAGTGTACTGCAAGGAACTATAAATGAACCATTTCTGTGGGATTTAAACAATTTTCTTGCTTTTCATTGTGTATTTATACATAGGTGAGGGTGCTTTTACAGAGCCTATTCGTTTACATTTTTTCTCAGGCAGCAATTTGGATGATCTTACTGTCTTTTTGCAAATTTTAGAACTTACATTTACAAAGTAATATATATATATAAATGTTCTAAATACTTTTTTTTTTAAATAAGTGGCCACATGACCTCTGTTCTCATCTGCATATGGGGCTTAGATCACTGGGGGTGGATGTGGAAGTGTTTCAGCAGGAGGCAGAGAAATAGCAGTGCACTCATCTTCTCAGTGGAGAACTGTGTAGGGGGTGTGTCAGCAGCAGAAGTCTGACCACTCGAATACAGGCAAGTAGAATGCAAAGAAGATAACTGACCACACTGGGATGGATCTGCTTCCATGCCTGCTGTGGTCAGTTTGAAGTAGGAAAACAAGGGTATTGGCAGTATCAACAGGCATTTCACATAAAAGACACATATCAGGAATATGAAATGTTTGGGTAACATGCACTTTAAATATGTCTGGAGGTGTTTAAGGTAAGCCAAAGCGTGTTTTTTTCTAAGTACACATTTTAGGTTCAGTTTAGGACAATGTGACAGGTTCCCTTAATAATACTTTTCTCCTTCGACTTATACTTACCTTTACTGCATCCTCTTACTGTTCTGTTCCACTGCTTGAACTCCGGAATTACCCCACACTTTATCGTATGGAAGAACATATGACTTTCTCTCTTAAATGTTCAGCAACTCAGTGACCGGTCACATGGGACGATGGAAGGCCATTAGTTTTGTGTAATCTCTGAAAAAAGGAACACAAGGGGCGCCAACTAAGTGAAGTATTAAAACACAGCTTGTGTTTAATACTACACTTCCATCTTGTGTTCCTTTTCCAGATTGACAGAGTTTGCTTCACTCTATGGGGCTGCTGTCACTTTCTGCTATGAAAGCCTTGGACTATTATGGACTTTAAAGCATACAGACTTTTTCAACTTTGTGTATTGGAGTAGTACACACCTCCTCCAGTGCCATTTATGTCTATTGCATTGTGTAATCTCTGACACTAAGCTCACACAGGGCTTTAAACGTAGGGCTTTGGCTGCTGAACAGGGTGATGGGAGAATTTATACATTAGCAAGTGGGGGTTTTGGGTTATCAAGAGAACCATCCAACTTCAAGTGTATATCTAATGCATACTGTCAAAGGAATACATTTTCTTTCCCTTGGTTATCTTTCCCTGGGTTATAGCAATAATAAAGGACAGACAATATAATGTACATTTGTCCATTAAATATAAATGTCTTTGAATAAAAACTATTATTATGGTTGACATTTACAATTTATAGTTTGTTTTTCTGTGAGAACCAACCTTGTTTCTATCAGACCGTACTAAATATTGTTTTACACAGATATAAACTCGAACTGAATGAATGTATACCATTAACAACCTCCATTTTTCAACTTTTTCTTTATTCTTTCTTGCTACTCGGTGCTGTTGATCTCCTGGAGGTGAGATACAGAGGTAGAAGGTACTGGATCTAAATGTAGATTGATCCCAAAGTCAAGATATAAATTGCGAAAACAGAAAATAGGGTGCAGTGCTGAGTAGCGACAGTGCTTAAGTCATATACTTAAATCCTAAAAACAAAAATTGATTTTTTTTTGCCGGTGATCTTAAAATGAACCAAAATATAAATTCTATAGCAACAAAGTGTTTATATAATGACTGCAACTACTGTAGTCATATAATAAAATATTTCATAGTGCAGTATAATTTATGAAATATTTCATTACATGACTACAGTAGTTGCAGTCATTATATATACACTTTGTTGCTATAGAATTTATATTTTGGTTCATTTTAAGATCTGGGGTGGAGTGTTGTGACATCATAACATCAACCCATAAGTGACCAGTTGGAATTTGCCCAGTAAGCTGATGCCGATCCTTAGGCTTTAAGGGGACATCTTTTTCTAGTTTAAGGTGATACTACAACTGGTGTGCACTTAGATTTAAAGTGCACTCATTTTGTGAGTGGCTTTTTTTTATAGTTCTTTAGTTTTAATAAAATAATAAAGGTGAAGCACTATATTGTTTTGCTTATGTTCTTGAACGGAGGAGCCATTCTTTGATGCTGGTCCTTGCTGATGCATTATTATAAATTGATGATCAAAAGTAGAAGTGATGGAGACGGTTGGAGATAACTTTGTCAAGGTCCTTTTTCACTGGACATGCAAAGTGATCTATAGGTCTGTGGATTGTGGTGAGCACATTGAGTGAAAGGTGGTGGCACTTACTTGGATGATATCACATAAATGGATGGAAGTAGACTTTTCACTGTAATCATGGAGGTGTTTTTATTTTCCACATATTTGAGTATATGGATGTTTTAAAAATAAGGATGATTATATATTATTTTCGTTTCGATATTATAATTGTAGAAGCACTAATCAATAGCTATGTACTACATGTTGTCAAATTTGTGCAAGCACTTATCAATTTGCTACATAATAGTTTATATATAAATCTTTGTCTGATATATGAAGCACATATCAGTGATAGTACCAATCACTAGATACATTGTATTTGTTGAGTAGGGATTATTTTTGGTTTTGCACAGAGATATTTTTTATAATTTGTATAATTTGTACAATTTGTCATGTTGCCCAACATTTTTTTTTTTCTAATTTCATTTCACAGAATAATTTATGCACTATTTTATTACATGTCTGCAGTAGTTGTGGTAATTATATTTGCACATTGTTGTGGAAGAATTCATATTTTGGTTCATTAAATGATCGCTAGCAAATTCAGTTTGTTTTTAAAATTTAAGTATATGATTTAAGCAGTGTGGCAAGTATATTTATTTTTTGAACCCTATTTTCTTTTTCCATATCTAAAAAGGAAGCATAGTTTGGTGCTTAGACAGATCAATGCATTTGGGGTATTCTAAGGGTCTCATTCAGGGCTTAAAGTTGCTGATGAGAAACTGAATGGTCTCTGGCTTGAATGGGTTAAAAATTACAAACATTAAATTCTGAGCTGACTACTGATGATTCCAGGAGGTGGTTGTTATTCATGACTCTAAGGTGGTCACTGGTGCTTGTCAGTCATTAGTTGTAGTGTGGCTGGTGCTGGAATCATGGGGTAGAAAGGGGGTAGGGTAGCAGCATTAGAATGGATGGCTTTGAGAGAAGAACACGCAGCTGGTCATGTGTTTCTTGGTTCATAAGGGTGTTTAGGTAATCAGAAGTCCAGGGTGGTGTGAAAGGTCATGAGCCTAGTGGTATACAGGTGACCATAGCCACTTGCTGAATGCCTGGGAAAATACATCATTACGTTGAAGTTTAATACCAGCGTTATGGCTTTCAGCTAGATGCAAGAACCCCAGTAATAAAATTTCCTTCAGGCACCAGTCTTTCCGATAAAAGTGATCTGAGCAGCTGATTAGCCGCTGGATCACTTTTAGAAGCACCCTCCACTGCTTTCCAGTGGTTCTTGGGCTTACATGAAGGATCAATGAGCCCAGGATCTGATCCAGCGCTGGTTGGTCAAAGAGATGAGTAGAAGAAAGCCTCTGTGACCTAGGGGGACCGGAGCAAAGTCATGACATCACTTCCCGTGCTGGCCTGATTTTTTTTTGTTTTTTTGTTTTTGATCTGATGCTTTCCATTGTAGAGCAGTGATGTGGGGTCTTATTGACCTCAGATCTCTTCATAAAGAGGACCTATTACTGCGTATTTCTATTAAAAGGGATGTTTACATTCCTTGCGATAGGAATAAAAATTATGAAAAAAAAAAGTTTAAAAGGGACAGTGTGAAAAAAAAGTAATACAATAAACAATAATTATTTTTTTTCTAAAGTACCCTTATCCCCCTGTGCTTGTGCGCAGTGGTGAACACATACACTATACTGCCAGAGGTATTGGGACACCCCTCCAAATCATTGGATTCTGATATTCTAATCACCTCCATGGCCACAGGTGAAAAAAAATCAAGCACCTAGGCATGCAGACTGCTTCTACAAACATTTGTGAAAGAAAGGGTTGCTCTCAGGAGCTCAGTGGATTCAGCCATGATACCATGATAGGTTGCCACCTGTGCAATAAGTCCATTCATGAAATTTCCTTGCTACTGAATATTCCACAGTCAACTGTTAGTGGTATTATAACAATGTGGAAGCAACTGGGAACAACAGAAACTCAGCCACGAAGTAGTAGGCCACGTAAAATGACAGAGCAATGTCAGCGCATGCTGAAGCATACAGTGCGCAGAAGTCGCCAACTGTCTGCAGAGTAAATAGCTACAGACCTCCAAACTTAGTGTGGTCTTCAGATTAGCACAACAGTGAACTTCATGGAATGGGTTCCTGCGGCCGAGCAGCTGCATCCAAACCTCACATCATCAAGTACAATGCAAAGCGTCCGATGCAGTGATGTAAAGCATGCCGTCACTAGACTCTACAGCAGTGGAGACGTGTTCTCTGGAGTGACAAATCACGCTTTTCTATCTGGCAATCTGATGGATGTGTCTGGGTTTGATGGTTGCCAGGAGAACGGTACTTGCCTGACTGCATTGTGCCAAGTGTAAAGTTTGGTGGAGGGGGGATTATAGTGTGGGGTTGTTTTTCAGGGATTCCAGTGAAGGGAACTATTAAGGCGTCAGCATACCAAGACATTTTGGACAATTTCATGCTCCCAACTTTGTGGGAACAGAATGGGGATGGCCCCTTTCTGTTCCAACATGACTGCGCACCAGTGCACAAAGCAAGGTCCATAAAGACATGGATGAGTGAGTTTGGGGTGGAGGAACTTGACTGGCCTGCACAGAGTCCTGACCTCAACCCAATAGAACACCTTTGGAATGAATAAGAGGGGAGACTGACAGTCAGGCCTTCTCGTTCAACATCAGTGCCTGAGCTCACAAATGGAAGAATGGCCAAACATTCCCACAGACACACTCCTAAACCTTGTGGACAGCTTTCCCAGAAGAGCTGAAGCTGCTATAGCTGCCAAGGGTGGGCCAACTCAATATTGAACCCTACGGAGTAAGACTGGGATGCCATTAAAGTTCATGTACGTGTAAATGCAGGCGCCCCAATACTTTTGGCAAGAGTGCATGTAGGTCACGCCCATATATGTAAATGATGTTTGCATCACACATGTGAAGTATCACCGCAAATGTCAGAGCAAGAGCAATAAACCTAGCACTAGACCCCTTCTGTAACTTTAAACTGGTAACCTGAAATTTTTTTAAAGTGTTACATATGGAAATATGAAGTACTGAAGTTTGGCACTATTCCACAAGCGTGCAAAATTTGAAAGCATGTCATGTTAGGTATCTATTTACTCATATTTTTCAAAAAAATTGGGTGATATATCGTGGTTTTTTTTAGTTGATTAAAATGTATTTTTTCCCAAAAAATTGCGTTTGAAAAATCACTGCGCAAATGCTGTGTGACATAAAAAATTGCAACAAATATAAATATATAATGTTTTGGGGTTCTAAGTGATTTTCTAGCAAAAAAAAAAATTTACATGTAAGAGAGGTGTCAGAATAGGCCTGGTCCTTAAGTAGATAGGTTTGAGAAAGGTGACTGGAACCACAGAAGAAAAACCACTGGAACCACATGCAAAAAATGAAATCCAATGGATGAGAGGGCAATGCATTTCCACATTACCTAGAAAAGTCTGCATATGAATGCAGCATGCCTAGGAAGGTTCACTCTTTCAAACTGATCATCAGGGCATTTTGATATTTGCACAGCTTCTTCCAAAAGCTAGCTCACTGCTTGCATCATGGTTGAAGGCTCATGAATGGAAAACTGAAGCAGGGTGCTGTTTTCAGAAAGCAAGCAATTATCATTTTGCATTGCATTAAGAAGCACCTAGAGCCCTGGTGAAGATATCACTGGGTCTAAAGTAAGGCCTGTATTGAAAATGGAAACTTTTTTTAACTTGATCGGCATGTTGATAGGAGGAGGAGAAGACTATGAGCAGTGTAAACATCAGGCAGACTCCTGCCTGAGAGGTGGGAGCAGTCGGGCAGCTGCGCTGCCGCACGATCATTTCCGGGGGCCCCGGTACTGGGAAATGCCATGATGGGATGCTCACAGGTGGAGAGGACAGAGGAGGGCAGACAAATATCCGCTCTCCTCTTCTTCTTCCGCACTCTCCTCTTCTTCTTTCTGTGACCCAGAAAGTGATGTGTGTGACATCACTTCCAGGTCATGGTAAGTGGTGTATTTATTTCATGTGCTGCCCTAGGCAACACTGAAATCGGGCGACCCCACCCCACCAGAATCCCCCCTGCCCCCACCACCACCACAGCCCATCAACGTAATACCCTTCCATCCAACCCGCTGCCCCCCCACACACCACCGCCACCACCACCAGAGCCCGTCATTGCAATCCCCCCGCTGCCTCCCACACCGCCCCCGCCGCCCATCACTGTAATTCCCCTGCCACATCCACTCTCCATCACCACTGACCAACACACATCCGACACCTGCCTGCTGCGACCACCCATTTTGTGCACTAACCTTAACCTCCCCAATGATAGAAGAAGCCCACCATCCCCACACCCTGCAGCAGCATGCAGCCTTCTCCGGGTCTCATGGCAGAGCTGACCAGGTCCACATCCCTGCCACTTGTGTGCCTTTTTCAGGTAGGTGGCGCTGCCCCCTGAAAATTGCCGCCTAGGCAAACACCTTGTTTGCCTCATGGTAAATACACCGCTGGTCATGGCTATCACTTTCCCTGGCTATAATAGCCAGGGATAGATGTATTGCAATGCAGTCTGCATTGCATTACATCCAGTGGAGCCCAGAGGAGACATGCAGGGTATTTTACGAATGAAAACGTCAATTGTGATACACATGTTAAATATAGCTGTGCATGCTGGAGTGAGCGCAATAATTCCAGCACAAGACCCCCTCCATAACACTAAACTGATGACCTATAGGGGTTTTTGAAACATCGCCTATAGAAAATATCGGGTACTGAAGTTTGCCACCATTTTGTAGGTGCAAACAAAGTTAAGGTTTGGCATGTTGGGTATCTATTTACTCGGTGCAACCTCATCTTTTATATTTTACCAAAGCATTGGGTAATTTAATGCATTTGTCTGCCCTAGGATTCACTTTAGTGTGTTTCTACTAAAATGTTGCGTTTCCTAGACCTTTGCGGTAATATCATGTGACATAAAAAATTGGAACTGCAACTATTTTATTCTCTAGGGTGTCTGCAAATATATAATGGGTTTTTTTTTGGGGGGGTGTAATCTTCAGAACTTTTTTTTTTAAACTTGTGCAAAAAATGCAAAAACGGCTCTGGCAGTAAAAGGGTTAAAGTGGAAGTCCAATCTTTTCCCAGCTGTGCTTAAATCAGCTCCCGCTCTTCTAAACCTTAATCTATCTACCATGTGAAAGGAAGATGTGTGTACCTACCTATTCTGAGAGTAATCTGGTCCAGTCACATGATCAGCTATCAACAGCAACTTCAGTGTAGAGGATGGACAAACGACAATGGATGCCCCATAGTGAGTCTATGGGTGATGTCATTACCCAGGCTCTGAAGCCATTGATGGCAATCTCTCCTCTTCACTGAAGCTGGAGAAATCATGTGACTGGACCAGATTGCTCTCAGAATAGGTAAGTATGCACAACTTCCTTTCACAGGGTAGATAGAATTTAGATTTAGGATTTAGAAAGGAAAGAAAAATGCCTACCTTACAGCCCACAGTGCAGGATTGCTTTCTTGCATGATTTGAGTTGCTCAGAATTCCCAAGATCCCACAAAAAGGCCCAGTGATGTCACCCTCGTGTAGACAAGTGGTCCAGAAGCCAGGGTGAACAGTGGGTATCTTTTAATTTTTCTTCCAGTGGTTGGTTCTTAATGTTTACATTAGTTATCTTTTTTTGGGAGATGTGGTCATTTAGAAAATGAGACCTTGCATTTTATTTTTATTTTTTTGTAAAAAAGTAGCTATTAAATATTAAGATATAAGGTATTTTAAAAAGAGTTACAGAAAACTGCTAAATAAGATACTGTATTTCATTTCCAATGAGCGGCACAATATATATAATAAAGAGTAAATTTCAAATATGTATCAATCTATCCATATCTGACCTATTTTAATCATTTTAAAATACATACAGTGTCTTGAAAAAGTATTCATACCCCTTGAAATTTCCCACAATTTGTCATGTTACAACCAAAAATGTAAAATGTATTTTATTGGGTTTTTTTGATAGACTAACACAAACTGGTACATAATTGTGAAGTAGAAGAAAAATGATAAATGTTTTTCAAAATTGGCATGCATTTGTATTCAGCCCCCTTTAATCTGATACCCCTAACTAAAATCTAGTGGAATCAATTGCCTTCAGAAGTCACCTAATTAATAAATAAAGTCCACCTGTGTGCAATTTAATCTCAGTATAAATACAGCTGTTCTGTGAAGGTTTGTTAGAGAACATTAGTGAACAAACAGCATCATGAAGGCCAAGGAACACACCAGAGAGGTCAGGGATAAAGTTGTGGAGAAGTTTAAAGCAGGGTTAGGTTATAAAAAAAATTCCAAGCTTTGAACATCTCATAGAGTACTGTTCAATTCATCATTGAAAAATGAAATGAGTATGGCACAATTGCAAATTTACCTAGGCATGTCTGTCTACCTCAACTGACAGGCTGGCAGGGGAGCATTAATCAGAGAAGCAGCCATGGACCATAGTAACTCTGGTGGAGCTGCAGGGATCCACAGCTCAGGTGGGAGAATCTGTCCACAGAGCAACTATTAGTCATGCACTCCACAAATCTGGCCTTTATGGAAGAGTGGCAAGAAGAAAGCCATTGTTGAAAGAAAGCCATCAGAAGTCCAGTTTGCCAGAAGCCATGTGGGGGACACAGAAAACATGTGGAAGAAGGTGCTCTGGTCAGATGAGACCAACATTGAACTTTTTGGCCTAAAAGCAAAATGCTATATGTGGCAGAAAACATATCTTTACTATCTACTGCTAGAGAGACTGGGCCCTTTAGGAGCTGACCATACTGACGTCTAGTAGCCTTATTGCTGCCTGCTGGCTTGACTGGGACTGAGTGCTAATGTTAGGCAGCTGAAGACTTAGGCCAAAAAACTGTCTCTTTACAGCTGCTACACAGAAAACTTTACCTATTGCTTATGCTAAGATGTACCTTTCAGGGGACATTAGACCATATCCCAGCCATTAATCCCAGTCTAGTGTTACAGAACTCTATTCTAAGTTATCTTGGCATAGTGAATATACTGTCTAGCAGACTGTGTTTGAACCTACCTTCTGTGTATACAGTTATGCTCAAACCACCATTTATTGTAACCCATTCCATCACATTAAGTT